AGAGAGAGAGAGAGAGAATGTAATTTTTGCATACGTGTATATGGTGCATTGTCACATGCCAGTTACAATTCAGAAAAAAGATTAGATGGAAAGTATTAGATATGAGTAGGGTTTTCATACAGGAAATGCAAGATCCAGCAATGCTGTCTGGTTGCTGCCAAACTTTGTGAACAGGAAACCTCCAGGGTGGGACTGAAAATGATATATCAAACAATCAAATTAACCATTTTGAGGAACTTAAGAAGATTAAGACAGCCTAAGAAAAGAGGTAAAATAGAATCTTACTTTTTCCTTTCGGCTGTCCGACTGGGTTTGTGAGGCTATGACAACAATATTCTCAGGTAAATTCTCCAGTTTGTTCTTCAAAGTTATATACACATCACTGTTCCCAGACACAGATTTGTCAATGTCTTTCAGGAACAGTATCAATGACCCTCTTTCACTTTCATTAAAAGCCACCTACAATATCATTTAAAAGGGAGTAAAGGGTTTCTGTAGCTACAAGAACTAAGTAATATTATTTGTAGTTTATAGATAGGCAACAAAAAGTGGTAAGAACTACCTCAAAGATTTCATTAATCGCAAGTTTATCAGTATCATCACTGGACGAACTTTCTAACCGAAGTGAACTCGCTGCATACGAAGAATGTCATTGCTACAATAACTTTTAAATGCAAATCTGTAGATACTAGCACGGAAATTTACCTGTACAAAAAAAACCATGGTCCTCTTCACATAGACCACCAAGATCATTGCCATCTGGTACCGTTTTATCAAATCTAACCCCGATCTTTGAAGATCCATTGTCTTCAAAGGCAAGGAGTACTTTTCCCTGGAAACCTATTGCCGGTCCCCTAGAAAGAATAGCACGGAAAGAAAAAAACTGAGTTTTAATAACAATCTACATCAGATTAAAATAATAGAATAAAAACAACGAAGAATACCTAGGTGGAGCATGGAGAGAAGCAAGTGCAGAATTCAAATGACCAACATACTTTACTCGATCACCTACGAATTATAGAAATGCTTGTTCAGTAACAGAGAGAGTGGCACAACAACAGAACTGAAAAATAAGACATAAGTAACCATACCTGCTTTAAAGGTGTAACTTTTCGAGCTTGCAGTTGACACTTCTTGCCTCGGAATTGCCTGAGAACTCACTGTTGATCCACCTGTTATATCAGCCTCAACACTTGACGTTGGTTTCTTATGCTGCAAAACAGCAGCATGTGCAGCAACCTGTACAGCTCGTTTAGCAAACACAGACAGTCTTTCACGCCTAGTACTTTCTTTGGTTGAATCTGCTTCCTTGGCTGTCAATCCCTGAAGCCATCCAGAAACAGTAAAGAGTCAATGAAACAGATTGCCAGGACATACCACTTCTACAAATTTCGAACCAATAGTCAAAAGTGCCTATTTAATCCCAATACGCTCACTTTTTTATAGACATAAAATATGTTACGAATATGCATAAAATCAAACACTCAATAAGAAAAAGGAAAAGAATGGGAGTTTACCCCAGGTAACAAGAGAGAGTCAACAATCATTAATTTGACCCCAAATTTTTTCGCAAGCGCTTTTGCCAACATTTCCTGATATATCTCAGAGCCTTCAAATATTCCACATGAGAATTTTGTTAGAAAAATGAAAATGAGGAACCAAAGAATAATGACAAAACTTGTTCAGAGGGTCCCTCATACCAGCTGGTCCAGATAGCAAGATGCGGGGGCACGATGTTGTCAAGTCTGATCCAAACTTTATATACTTGCTTTCACACTTCATATGGGCATATGTCGATGTTATCAAAACATCCTTAGTTATGCCACTGTGACAATTCAGAAGTTATTGATCCAAAATTTATATACTTTTCCATCTTGCAAGAGAAAAGTATAATAGAAATGTAATATAAATTATTAGTACTACTGACCTTAAGTAATATGGAAAGTTCTCAAACGAAATGTCTATGTCCTGAGGATTGAGTACCCCTCCCTGCAGACTATCCTTAAGTGCTTGACGTCTAGTTGATACCAAAGCTGATGGACGGTCATATTCTTTCGGCATTTCCCTCACTTCACTTCGATCATCCACCAGTATTTTGGAAATGCTACTCCTTAAATCAAATTCAGAAGGATCCCCAAGTAAGCTCAAAATTGGACGAACTTCAAAACCAGAGGGAGGAATATTTCCAAATTCAGCTTCTTGAAATGGATCGATTCCATTTCCATCTGCATTCTGTTCATCGTTGGCAGCACAAGAGGTTGAAGCAACAGTTTTCTCCGTTGAAGCTATAGCAGCATGATCATTATTATTATCAGCATCGTTCATGTCAACATCCGGAATACAATCATTGCAGCCAGAAGGTAGCACAGGAACCTCTGAATTTTGCTGCCTTTTGACACTTTTAGCAGTAGGTGGTAGAAAAGGGACATTATGTAACTTTGATATAGAAGCCAATAAAGAGTCCCCATCAACAGGTGAAGAGTCGCCTGCTCTCGTCTCAACATGAAGCCCTTTCAGAGGGGCACTCTGATTTTCAAAAAAGCTCAATGAAGAAGCTCTGTCTGAAGCAGCTAGATTCTCATCTTTAAGAGGCTGAAATATCTGAAGACTTGTCAAGAAAAAAAAAGGATAACCCCTGAATAGAAATAATACAAACCTCATATATAGATATATCACAGCAAAAATAAAAATTATATAATCCTTAATTATGGAACGTGGATAACTTTCCAGATCACTTTTGAAAGGATACATAAGCATGTTTCCCATGGGTACTGAAGACAACTTCGTCGCCACCCCGCAAATGAATACAAGAAGTCCTTTGGTAAATCTTGCCATTGACCTGAACAAGTAGACTATTCCCTATTATCTCCAGCGAGGCAACTGATGGACCACCGTGCTACAAAAAGGACATTATTAGTAAAAGACTTTTTGTCCCTTGGGCTAGTAGAAGACCAATCGGATAGTGTCCTTACCTCAGACTGTCTAAATTCACACAGAACGGTGGGCATTGTATGATCTTTGATACATAAATCGCATCCTCGCCGACCAACAGTAAAGACAGAGCCTCTCATGACACGATGAGGGTTCTGAAATTGCGTATAAAGGAATATTAGCCATAAAACTCTGGAAACTACAGCAAGCTTACAGTAACCCACGGTCTCCAACTACAAGAGAAGTAGACCTTCTTCTGCAACATGCGGCTGGAAAGAAAAAAAGAAACTAAACTGCTATACAAAAACCAGGAACGCTAGTTCACAATTCCTACTAATCCGCTACTATATCACCATATATTAACATTTCAACACCAAACACACCAAAGTTTTCCCTTCTAAAACCAGTGAAGAGAAAAAACGCCCAGTTGATCAAATACTGTACATTGTCAGAAACTGCTCCGCAGCAACCCATAATACCAACATATGTCCATGACAATAAACCCGAAAGCCACAAACTTTACTAAATTCCCCGATCGCAGACAGCTAAAACCCACTAGGCTCAGAATTTGAGAAACATGCAAACAATATATAAAGCAAACAGAAGCAAAATAACAGACCTGAGAACATTGAGAGATAAGCTTGGCCCAAGGAGCCTTAGCAGTCCGCTTCTTTGAAGATTTCGATTTTTCAGCTTCGACCACTACATCACATGAACAACCAAAAGACATGAGGAAAAAAGAGATAAAACTTGTAGTCATGAAAAAGAGAGAACATGCAACATGCGAACCTGCAGGGGTGGGCGTCACCAAGCCTTCAACTTCTGGAATTGTGTCGGTCTCCATGGCCGGCACATCGGCGGTAGTGACTGGCCTCTCGGCACCATTAGTCTGCGGATCAGGAGTTCTCCGTTCCGGCTCTCCAGATTCCGATCCAGGATCCGAAACCGGCCCACGATTTTCAACCGGCACCTCACTCGCCGAAGAAGAAGCAGCCGGTTCCGCCGCAGCCTAAACCGGAAGAAGAAGAAGGAAAAAAATCAACACAAATCGAAAAAATAAAAAAAACCCCAGATTTCAAAATCCGGAATTGATCAAACCCAATCGTCGGCATCTCCAAAAATTGGGCAGGAAGATTAACCTTGGATCGTTTGGTAGGACGTGAGGATGAAGAAGTTGTTTCGGGGGAAGAAGCAGGAAGGCGCTTGGAAGCAGAGGAGCTACGTCTCGTCTCAACCATATCTCTTGTTCTTGAACGCCGCCGTCTCCACCGCTTGATCCAAAGAAGAGAGACGCTTCCAGAGAAAGAGAAAGAAGACAGAGAGAGATTTCGCAAGAGAAGAAGAACGAAAGAAATAACTTTTACTGCAAAGGTCTCTCTTTGTTTTTATCTCTCAATATCTTATACTAGTGTGTATCTCATAAACTTCCTCTAATCTTTATTCTTCCTCTTATTTAAATTTATAAAGTGCGTATCTGCACATATTTAATATTTTTCCTTTTTCCTTTTTTGTTTCCCATATTTCTCAAACTTAACATTTTCTCTAATTATTTTTAGTCACTCATATTAATTAAAAACGACAAAAAAAAAAGAAGAGTAAATTAAAAATAACAAAATAAAAAGCACCCACTTGAGCTGTTTTGACTAAATTTGGTTTAGATATTTGAAGGAAGTAATTAGATTCTTCTCTTCAGTTGCTTGCAGTAATGGTATGTAGTACAGCTTTAAGAATGTTTGGTTGTCTGCCTATATAACGCTATGTATTTGTTTTAAAAACTCCTATGTTGGTTTTGTTGTTCTCCCTTTCAGGGTTCCAAGTCCATAACATGGATTCAAAGAATGTTATCACGGATGGACCTAAGGAATACGCTATCATTGTCATAACCAATTTCTTACGATCCGTTTGGTTCAATTCGATAATGATTTTCATTTGGTTCAAACTTCAAAAAATATGCGTTGATTTAAAGCAAAAATAATAATCGTCAACTTTTATATTCCAGCAAACGCGCCCGCCGAGAGTTGATAGTTGTTAAGGGTTAGGTTGAGAGTTGGTGATCACTTGTGTGTTACACAACTTTCACACTTAATATTTTAAACTGGTT